AAACACCCCCCCAGAGAGAGAAGGGGCAGCTCTCGGTGCTCGAGATCCGCCAACGGGTTTCAACCCCCCAACGGCCCCCAACGGACCCAACAGCTCCGGGGTCCTCACCGGCCCAACCTCCCCCTCACACCCCACACAACCCCCCTCAAACACACTGGAAGCTTCCTAGCTGATTAGGGAGGACGTGACCCAAACATTCATTTGCCAGTCTCCTCCATTGCCTAATGGGTTGGGGATGAGGCACATGCAGAAATCCCCCAGCCAGTTGGGAATAGGGATTACACCACATACTGTATCATTACATAATGAGGCGCCGGCACGCAGAGAGAACACGAGCGAGGACCAGCAGCACTGTCATCCTGGGGAGAGAGAGAGAGAGAGAGAGAGGCACCAGGCTCCAACTAATTAGAAACATTAATGTCCTGGGAATGGTCTGGAGGGTTTAGGGGCTAATGGCTCTGGTTCCCACGCTGCAGCCCCGTAATTAGAGCCCCGATCCCTGCAAACAGGCTCACGTGAGTAATGCTGTTCCCAGGGGAGTCAGGGATGATGGTTCACATGAGTCAGGAGAGCCAGGGATGGGGCAGCCACAGCTTCTCTGGGCAACCTGTGCCAGGCCCTCACCATCCTCACAGGGAAGAATTTCTCCCCAGTATCCCATCTCTCCCTCCTCTCTGGCAGTAGGAAGCCATTCCCTGTGTCCTGTCCCTCCATCTCTTGTCCCAAATCCCTCTCCAGCTCTCCTGGAGCTCCTCTAGTCCCCTTGGCTCCTGCAGTCACTTGGCAGTGGTTACTTGGGGTAACCAGATGTTCCCCAAACAAGGAGCAAAAGAGAAGTGGGATGAACTCTGAACAGGGATATTTTATCCCAGGGCTAGAGGCAGAGAAAAGCCCTTCACACAGAGGTCATATCAGCCACTTCCACCTGGAGATCCCCTGAGGATTAGCACAAAACAGGTTTGCCAATAGACAAGGTGCAGAGGGATCCCCTAGGGATGCTTTTTGGAAGGAAAACTCCTGGGAGCAGCAAATTTTGCAGCATCTCACACAGGATGAACTCTGGCTTTTTCTCCCTAATAAAAACCTATTGCAGGGTAATTACGAAGATCTTCTTTCCCCTGCTCGGGGAGAAATTTCCACGGGAATCATCCACCTCCTGAGCTCAGCCTGTGCCTGGAGCTCCAGGAATGGGGGAGAAGCAAACACAAGAGGCCTGCATGGAGCAGCTTCCCCTTGGGAGAAGGATCCTTCCATGGGAAGACATGGATCCAGAGGCATCAAAGCAGGGCTGGAGCATGAGCCAGGCTCCTGTCCCAGCAATCCCAGGGTGTTCCCTCTCCTGACTAAGCAGTGCAGGACTGCAGGAATCCTGTCTTTCCAGCTGGGAAGCCTCTGGTGTTGTGGTGAGGACGAGGCTCAGGGCTGGGGAAAAGGTTTTCATCCAGGATTTGCCCCTGAAATGAAAGGGGGGTGAGACGAGGTAGGAGGAGATCCTGCCCTGCTCTTGAAATCCCTCAGACTTTTTTTTTTTTGGCAAAGCCATTACTGAAAACCCCACACCTCCTGCTCTGGTTCTCCCAGCTTCCAGGAGGCCCCCAATATTTGGGAATCAAAATAAAGCTTTCAGAGGTGCCAAGTGCAAGATTGATTTGGTTAATCCATGATGTGAAGGCCAAGGAAGCAAAGCACTGCCTCTATCACCTCATCTGGGAGGAGATTATTTAAATATATACATAAAAAAATATATATTGCATTGGTCCCAATATCAATTCATTTGGGAGGAGATTATTTAAATATATATAAAATATATATATATTATTGCATTTGTATCCACAGCAAACAGTTCTAAAAGCCACTGAAAAGCCTTTCACAGCTGGGCAAAACTAAGAATATGGGTCAGGAAATTATTTTCCCATTAATTTTAGGGATGAAAAGGCTCTTAATAAAAGGCAACCACCTCAAGGCAGGGAAGGGAGGGAGAAGTCTGGGCCTTGTTTTAACAGCAACAAAGCACCTGTGAAAGCCAAAGCACCCGTGTGGGAGCCAAATTACACACGGGCTGATCCGTGGGGCCACAACTGGGGCTTGCAGAGGAAAGGACACTCTCCCACAGCCCCATAAGATGCTGCCAAGGTGCCAAAAATATTTCCCAGGGTGCACAGAGAGCCTTAGGACAAAAGGGGAGCCAAAAACACAAGTACTGGAGGAACCCCAAGGCCATTGGATGAATCTGATGGGCTCTCAAAGCTCCAACATGTGCAGAGCCTCCAGCTCTTCTGCAGTTTGTTTACTTAATCCCGGGGGTTTTAATGCAAAGCAGGTGCTTCCAGATCAGAAACTCACTTTAAAGGGTCAGAAGAAAGCTGACAGGGGCCAAGAACACATTGTTTGCAAGCTGTGGAAACTTCCCACCCCATCCTGCAGCTTCCTGCCACTGCTGGAGATAAACCAGTGCAGAAGCGATTGTTTCATCTTCTCCCCCTGGCAAAGGCCGTTTTCTCGGAATCTAAGCTTGCTTCCATCCCATGCCATCAGGTGACCTCAGCTCTCCCCAGACAATAATTGCCTGCAGGGACAGGGAGGAGTCGCCGATCCTGAGCTGCCCCAGTCCCGTGACACAGGAAGCCTGGCACTTGGAAAGGGGGGGGTTATTTCCTCCCAGAGTTTTAACTCGCCACTGAATCCATTTAAAAACTCTATCCCTTTCTTGCCAGAGAGCCAAAGCTCTTGGAAGCAAGGGTTTATTCTCCTTTTCGTGAGTAAAAGCATTTCTGAGCGATAAATATGCTCCTTATACTCCCACTTGAGACCCCCAAGCATCAGTCCAGCTCAGCTCTTCCTTCAAAATCCAGCATTTCCCTCTGATTTGGGAGAAAAATCCCAGTTCCAGGTGGCACCCCCCCTGACTGTTTCCCCCTGGAAGTGCCACCACTGAGGGACCTGACCTGAAGAGCTCCTACAAACCAACTCCTGCAGGCTGAAAAAAACCAAATCACTGAAAAAAAAAGCAGTATTTACACTGTTGATACCAACCAGCAAGAGGGTAGGAAGCAAAGGACTTGGCAGAGCCTCGGTGGCCAGGGGAATTCCCTCAATCTTGGCCCTGCAGGAAGCCCATTTTTCAGCCCTGTATTCCATTGCAATCAGAAAAGGAAACAGAAAACCACATCCTCTCTCTCTCTCCATTCATAACCTGCTGCACCTCCACTCGTGCCCTGGCCTTGCTGGGCCTCTTATCTCCCCTCTCCACAGGTTACCCTCACATTTCCCTCCTTGCATGGCCAACAACTTCATTCCCTGCTCCAACTGAACGACCTCAAGGTCGCCTTCACCTTGTCCCAGCCAACCCTCAGGGCGAGAGCTTTGTGAGCTAAAAAACCCATTTATCCCAGGACAGCCCATAAATTTGCATCTGCACTGACTTGTGGGGCTGAGTCTCCTCCTTGGAGAATTTTAAGTGGATTTAAGGGATGGGGCAGGGTCTGTCTAATGCCACGCTGGGGTCAGGGGTTAAAGACCCCAGATCACAAAAGGTTCAAGAGCTGAGCCTGGATTTTTGTGTCTCTACAGCATTAACAAGATGTTGGGGTAAAATACAGAGTGAGGGGGTTGTATTTATCCCCCATCCCAAGCCAGGCCCCTGTGGGCCTGCAGGCTGGAACAGCAGAGCTCTGCATTGTGCAGAGCACCAGGTACAGATCCCTGGTGCAGCCTGGCAGATTAACACAGAAGGATTTTTGGCTTTTCTCTTTATACCTGCCAAAGCTCCAGCCCTGAACTCCCCCACCCCCCCCCCTCTCCTGCCCCATTTTCCTGGCAGGAAGCTGTGTCTGGTCAGGCTGGATTAAACATCACTGTCACCAGCAGCGGTGGGAAGGTCGTGAGTGGCTGAAGGGGAAGGGTCAGAGCCCCAAAAAGAAGGGGTTGGACCCGCAGCATCCTGCAGAGTCCTCTGAGCAGGAATCTTGTGGGATCAGGGAGGGGATGCTTTTTACCTTCAAGCTCCTCACAGCAGAAGGTGCCAGTGCAGCACCAACCAACCACCAGCGCAGAGCCAGGGCTGCTGTGCCCCCCAAAACCTTCCTTGGCACCAGCCCCCCTCCCTCTGCCTCAGCTGAGCATCACAGGAGCCCTCGGGAGAGGAGGAATATGCGATATTTTCCAGGCACCGAGCACACAGCAGGGTACAGTCCCCTGAGCCTGGCAGCAGCCCACAGAGCCGCCCCCACGCTGCATCACACGGGGAATCACCCCTTTCTCCTGCCGGCCCCATCCCAAAACCTCAGCTCCAGCAGGGACACATTCCATCCCCTGCAGCATCTGACAGCACCCCCAGCCCGGCACGGAGCACCAGACACGGCAGCACCTCCACCCGTGGCCATTCGTGGCTCAGGCACGGGAGGGGGGGGCGGCCACCCACCTCCCAAAACCGCCCCAGCCGTGAACTCCTCTCCCAGAGCAGCATCTGGCACCCGGGAGCGGTTGGCACGTTCGGGGAAGGTCACCGGGAGGACGCGGGGCCCGGGGGAGGTGACCTTGGTGGCAGCCGGCCGGTCCCACACTGCTGGACGCGCAACGTTGCACAACCAACACCTGGCAGAGCCCACCCCTGCCTCGGCAGGTACCTTGTGACTGCTCCTGCCGGAGCTGCGGCTCCTTCTGGAGGAAGGTCTTCTATTTTGGGAAGAATGTTTTCGCTTGGCCTATATTAAGCACATTGGTTTCGCAGTCACAAGGCAGGCGCAGAGCGGTGCGGGAGCCTCTCCTCCTCCAGCAGCTCCCTCAGCCCGGTAGATCCCGGCTCCCAGCGGTGCTGGCACACGCAGCCCCAGCCCGCTGCTCACCGGGACTCTGCCAAATCGCATCCCGCTCGCATTCCTTCCCTTTTCGCACCGGCGGAACCGCTCGGCACCTCTTTAGATTCCTGGCTCAAATTCCAGCCAGCCCCCGATCCTATCCCGCTCCTGGAGACGGGAAAAGCCGCTGAGCGTTGCTGCAACACCGACACGCGACAGCAGCGCGGAGGGAAAGCGTTGAGAAACCCTCAGGTGTGGCCTCCGCTGCGCTGGGGAGCTGTGTGGGCAGGGTACGACAGCGGGATTGGGTTAGGGAAGGGTCAGCCAGGCTTTTCCACCTTTTACCCCTCCACACACACACACACACACATACGCTCCTTCTCCAGGACACTCCAGCCCCGGTGAGGAGGTGGATCTCTGCCCCGTGCCTCGTGGACGCTCTAATTGTGATTACAGCCCTTCGGGGAATGACAGCGGGGAAAAAAAAAATAAAATAAACAACCGCCTCCTCCAGGTCTCGGGGCCCGGCTGGATGAGGCTCGTGGGAAAGCCCTGGGGCAGCGGGTTAATGAGAAGCTGCGGATGAGGAAGGAGCATCCTCTGCTCTGACTCAGGTGGGGCTCAGCCCGGCCCCACGAGCCTCCCCGGCGAGGGGTGATGGGCAAGGCAGGACCCCCTCGGCTTGGCCGCCCATCCTGCTGCTCCCCCCACCCCACCCCCTTGCCAGCTGGGCTTGGGGACCTGCGTGGAATTTAGGCCGGCTGGGCAGGGATGGCTATAAATAGCATCGTTTCAGATTCAGCCTGCTCATCCCTTCAGTCTCTGGGTTATTTTCTCCCTCTTTCCACGGCTCTCTGCAGGCTGGGATGAAGTGGAAGCACAGGTTGGACCCTCCCTTAAGTCACACAGGGAAAACAGGGAGCCAGAACAGTTAAATTGGTTCAAATCCCCGCTGTTGATGCACTTATACCAGATTAACCTTTGCATCAATAGACTCCCAAATCACACTAAACTGGCTTAACCCTTCCCTAAATGGGTTTAACTGGTTTGCAGCAGGGGTTTGTACAGGTTTAACGAGCTCAGCTGAGTCCCAGCTCCTTGCAGAGACCAGCCCCAGGCCCCCCCCCAAAGCTGCTCTGTGGGCTGGAAGGAGTGGGGGCAACTCCCCTGAGCTTTATCATTTCCAGAGGGTTCTCCCAGCCCCCAGTCGTTTTTCCCAGCCCCTTGGCACCCTGGCTCAGGAGGAGACCCCAAAACGCCCCTTTTTCTCCAGCTCCCCACACCAGCAGGGTTACAAAGGCCCTGCCCTGACACCCCAACAAACCAACCTGCTGCAAAGTGAGAGAAAACAGCCCTGGCACCCCCAACGCAGCCAGCAGAGCCCCCCCTTACCCACCTATCCCTCCTTACAGCAGCAGTATCCCCGGTCCCGGAGGAGCCAGCACTGGAGGGCAGCCCGTGCCCAGCCGGGTCTGGCACAGCCCCAGCCCAGGACCAGCTTCTTGGCAGGGCTGAGCCCTGAGCCCGGCTCAGAGGCTGAGTAAAAGCTGAGACCCCACCCTGGGCGACCCCCCCAGCCTGAAGAGAGCGATTTTGGGACATCAGGGCCATTTGCAGATGCTCCAAGCAGCACAGGGGGCAAAGCAGCTGCAAACGAGCCATCGCTCCGGGCAGGGAACGTTTTCCTTGCTCTGTGACCCAGCAAAAGGGGAGCTTTTAAGTACCTGCCGCAGAAATAGGCGTAAAAAACCCCCTCAGTTCCCTTCGTAACTCGAGCCAGAGCAAGTAGCTGTGCCCCCAGAGGGGACAGAACATACTGGAGGGGTGAGTAAGCCCCGGTGCTAGCCCCGCTCCGCGGCAGAGGCGCCCGGGGCGCAGCAGCATCTCAATTAGGAGGTGAGGTGAGGCAAGACCTGGCCCGAGCGCCCCGTGTGTGCCGAGCAGCACGTTCCCACTCTTATCAGCTCCATCGGTACCCGCAGCCAGCATTTCTGCGGCCGCGCTCCCGTCCCTCCGAGCAGAGCAGCCAAAACGGAGCCTTCCCAGCACGAGGGCCTCCTCCTGGGCCCTTCAAAGCCCACATGCAGCTCACCAGCACCCCGGCAGCTCCCTCCTTTCCCATTGAGTCACCAGTTGTTCCCACTGATTCAGCCACCTCTCCTTTCCGTGGCCCGTGGCCATCTCCGCGGTCCCCTGGTTCCCATTGACTCACTGCTCCAAAGCTCACCCTCCCTTTTCCACTCCCGTCCTGGTCATCTCTGGTCACCTGGACTCACCCTGCCCCGGGACCTGCCTGCCTTCCCACAGCACCACGCCGGCAGCATCCCTGGGGAGCCGTGAGGAGCATCCCAGTGCGGGACCCGCAGGCTGGGCAGCTCCAAATAAAAAAATACCACCTCAAAACCTGGTCAGAAGTACCGTCCCCAAGCCCCAAAGCTACAAGGGAGCACCTTTTTCCAAGAGCAAAGGATTCCTCCCTGTTCCTCACCCCTGTTGGCATCTTCTGCTGTGTTTTCTTCCAAGGGACCACGGGGAAAAAATACCAAACGCTTTGCAGAACTTAAGATGTAATCAGTGCCTCAAGCATATTCCTTCACGCTTCCCATCCATCCCTCCATCCTGGAACCATCCCACGGGTTGGTTTACTCCTGCTGCAATACAGGAAGCACTTAGGAACAAGTCTGGAAAGACTTGGGAAGCTCAGGGCGGCGGGATTTTGGGGAGCAAGGGAGATGCAGGCCCCGGCGCGTGCCGCGCCGCCGGCGCACCCAGAGCGGCTCCGGAGTGGAAAATTCCTGCCCCGCTGAGCTCGGATTGTGGTCCAACAGGTTTCAGTCCCAGCCCCTTTCCTTGTGTCAGTGCAAAAACTCATCCCTAGGGCATTTGTTTGGATCACGTGGGCGAGCGTATAAAAATGGGTCCTACCTGTCCGGGCCAGTTAGCACCTGGAAAGGGAAGGCGGCTGCTGGAGCGGAGGGAAGAGCCGCTGGACGGGACGGCGCAGGGCCGGTGCACACAGGTAACCGCGGGGTACATCTACCCCCCGGAGCATTTCTGCCTCCCCATTTCTCCCCAGGGATTCGCCAGGGCTGCTCCTGGGATGGCGAGGCTGGGGGGGTTTCTCCGCCGGGAAGTTATGTGGGTGGTGGGGGATAGAGGTTTACGGGATTTGGGGGTTGGGAAGTGAGTGGGAGAGGGGCTGGTTCATGCACAGGAGGTGATCTGAGTGTCCCCGAGGCTGTTTCCAGCCCCCAAGTGATGCAAACCCTCCAGCCCCTCGTTCCCTCACGGCCCCTTTGCTCCCCTTTGAGCTGTCGGGATTTGGGGTGTCCGACCCCAAGAGGCTCCTCTGGGTGTGCTGGTGGCCCTCAGGGCTTAACAAGTGGCCCGTGGGCAGCGAGGTGGGTGCTCAGGCGAAGCCATGGGTGACACTAAGCCCTGGGGGTACAGATCTTCCAGCGTGGGACGAATCCACCCTCCTTTCCCCCCACCCCGGGAGCAGCGCGGATGGAACCAGCGGCTCTCCCCGCTCCAATAAGGGGTGTTGATGTCTCCTGGCAGGTCGTCAGGACGTCCCTGCAGCCACCAAAGGCTGGTGCCACCGCCCTCCCCGAGCCTCCTGCCAAGGCAGGGAGGTGCTGCCGCTTCCTCCGGCCGGGAGCCGTTAGGGTAGGAAGTGGTTTTGGGGATTTGGGAGCTGTTTCACAAGCGAGGGCACGAGGTGAGGCCTCCCTCCCGCAGGCCAGGACTTGCAGCCGGGCTCTGTGATGATGGAAGAGGGTGATTTCCCCGCTCCTGGCCTGCTCCCAGCGCTGTCTGACACCCCATGTTCCCTCTTTTCAGGCCGTTCCTTCCCTCCCTCACCCCAAACAGGAGCTCTGGGATCCCCACGAGTTTTCTCCCCCCACCCAGCATCGCTTCTTCCCCTTCCTCTGCTCTCCATCCCTTCTTGGAGACAGTTGCTTAGAAACAGACTCCTCGTTCTTTGATGTTTTAATATAGTTGTGGTTTTTTTTTTAAACGGGGGAGAGCAGTGGGGGTGAAAGAAGATGGCAGGACCGGGATGTGCCACCACGCTGCTGGGGAGCAGAGTGGGGAGGAGGGCCCAGGAAACAGCTGACACAGAGGGAAAAGTCTAAAACAAACAAACCCAGCATTTTTTCCCCCGTTAGGAGACATGCAGCCCCCCCAGACCCCACACCACGCTCTGTGCCGGGTGCTGCCTGCAGCCAGACCCACGAGGGTCTCATTTTCCCCCTTCCCATTGACCATCAGCACCCAGGCACCCACCCCGCACCCACAGCAGCTCCCTGGCTGCAATGTGAGAATGAATTCCCTGGGGGGGAAGCTGCTTGGAGGGTTATTTTCCTTCCCTGCTGAAGAGCCCAGGCTGGTTGGCAACATTATCCGCCTATTTTTTGTGCTCTCCACGGCAAAGAGAACCAGGAGAAAAGGGAAACAGAGAAGCCACAGGATGCACCGTTATAAGAGGAACTTTCCCCAAATAGAAGCTTTTCACAGCTTTTTCACGAGGCGTCAGCAGCTCTTAATACTGTATGAAACTGTGAATTGCTGCATGAGGCAGCCGGGCTGGTGGGAGCCTGTCAGTGCTGCGGGCTGCAGATGCAGCCTCTCCCAGAGTGTGGGGCCGGCCCTGCACCCCAAAACCCGGCCGGGATGTCGGGAAGAGGCAGCTGGAGGAGCAGCCTCAGCTGTGATTCCATCTTAGCGGCGTTTTCTGCGCCCACCGGGGTGGTAAATCCAACATACCCCAGCTGGAGGGCGCAGAAATCCCGCACACGAGGACCAGGACCTTGGATTTTGCCCTGACCTGGTTTTCAAGCTGCGAAAGATCTTTCTGGAGAGCCCCAAATGTTCATTAGCTCAGCGCTGGGGCGAAGGGAGGCTGCGCTTGTGTAATAAGTCGCATTTTACAGGAGTACACGGCTCCTTCTGGGTTTAAATATTTATAAGCTGAGCG